TCCATTAAATAATATCATCCAACGTGTATTAATAATAACACAATAATCATATGCCTATAATTTCACATTCTCTCTTTCCTATTCATTATCCTTTTTCCCTCGTTTAACAATTTTGTTCTCTTGATCATTCGGCAACAAATATATATGACCGTGTATTTACTGAATTTGATATTAAGCGTTAAAATTAAAACATTAGATGAACATATGTACATTCTTAAACATCAGATGACTGAAAAACATTTATTGTGATATATTTGTTTTTGCAATATTTCTACCCATATATGTTTTCATGAATTTTGTTACGAGACTGTTAATCTTAATTTTATTTCAAGCGGTATTCTATATTAAAGGAAAAGAGGTTAGAACACGAGATGCAGTCGGTTGAAGTGATTAATCTTCATTACGTGTTAAGTATTTTGTTTGAAATATATTATTAGAGAATGGTACTTCTAAATTATGCAATTTAAACTGCTCAAATAAATAAGGAAATGCAGAGGTGAAAAGATAAAGTGCAAACATCACGTCCTTTTAAGTTTATGTAGCTTCTTTATTATTGACTAAGGGCTCGTTTGAAATTTTTTTTGGAATGACCAAAAGTGTTTGTGGTAAAATTGGTTTTGGGTTTAAAAATCACTTTAAGTGTTTTTTGGAAGAAGCACCATATATGTGTTTCTTAGACGAAGCACTTAAAATGTTCTTTTAAGATTCACTTAAATTTTTATTAAGAATTGATTTCAAAACATTTTCACCTTAAGTGATGGTTCAACGGAGAGTTTAGATTCACAATTTGTCAACAAAATCCACGCATATTACAACCTAAGCATGACAAAAACATGACCATATAATAAGTTTTTCAATTAAATAAAAGAAATACACAGCGAAAGTTAAAAACACAAGTAAAATACGTTATACATTGATGCAGGTGCAGCAGAGTGAGAAGGGAAGAGAGAAAATGACGATGGTATTTTTGGTTCGTTTATTGTGAGAAGGTGTGAGTCCTCATGATCCGCGCACAGCCTACTACGTGATATCCAAAGCAGACTCTGTACAGAAACACCATCAGCAGCAGCAGCAGCAGCAGCAAGTACCCACTTCCCATCTCTCTCTCTCTCTCTCTCTCTCTCTCTCTCTCTCTCTGTTTACTACTGAGTCTGAGCCAATCCCTCTCTCTCTCTCTCTCTCTCTCTCTCTCTCTCTCTAGGAAGAGTTGTTGCTGAAGTTCACATCAATCATTTACTCATACTATTTATTGCACCCACATTCAAGAGAAAGAGATTTCTCTTATTGGGTAATCCAGTTTTTGGCGTCTCTCTCTCTCTCTCTCTCTCTTTCTCTCGTCCCTTGTTCTTGTTTTGTTGGTCTTCTGGTTTTCTTGCTGCTCAATTTCAGGTTTTGTTTCAGCTCCGCAACTTTGAGGTACTCTTTCTCTCTCAAATCACGTCTCTTTTTCTCTTCTGTTTTTGTGGTATCATGCTTCCCAATTAACTTTGTTTGTGTGACTCTTGACTGTGCTTTTTTATGTATAATCTCAATGTTTCTAATATTTTGGGGGATTCCATTATGCTGAAATTGTGTACTTTGGTTGGAAAAATTTTGTGGGTTGAGCTTGGTTTGATGAAATTTAAATTGGGTTGAGCTTAGTTTGCAGAAATTTGAACTGGGTTGGCTTGTTTTAGCTTCAATGCTCTGTTTGATGCATAAGTTTTGTTATCGAGTATGTTGGTGACTAATTACCCACTTATTGGTGTGATTAGTCGTAGATTTCAATTCAATTGATTCCTAGAACCCTAATCTTTGTTGGTCTGATGGAAAACTGCAAAGACGATGCGCGTAATGGAAGTTTTTTAATTTCAGGTCAATCCACAAAAAAAAGTTTCCGTAAATTGACCATAACCAAGCCAATCAGCTTTAGGTGAAGTCTTCGTTTTTTTTTAAAATTTTTTTTTAAAATTTTTTTTTTTTTTGGACAAACGATATTATTTGCAGTAAGGGGGAAGGGGTGAACTTAGCCTCATAATGGGCTAGCAATAGTGTGGTTCAAATCACATTTGGCGAGAATTGAACCTAAGACCTCTCACTTACAAGTGAAGATCAATACCACTTGGCCATGGTACTAAATGATAGGTGAAGTCTTTGTTGAGTTCATTGAATTTTGAAAGTGCATTTCTTTTCTCTGTTTATCTGTATTGACTGGACTCTGGTTGGCTTGAATCTAAAGGAATGCTAAGTTGGATTTAGGTTAATGGAATTTGATCAGAGTTTGTTAAATTAGTGCGAAACCGAGTCCAAGACTTGTCGCAGGAGAATAAGAGGGCAAGTCAACATTTAGGATTTAAGTATTAATGATTCTACATGTGTTGTAATATGAGTGATTTTGATGGACCGCATTGGCACAGTAATTTCTTGTATAAATGAATCGAAACAGTGAAAGTATCTTATCTAGAGAACATATAGATGCACAGCTTCTCTTCTCAAAAAAAAATATAGATGCACAGCTTCGGCTTTCTTTCTTTTAGTTTTAAGTGTATTTATTTTCTTCTATATGCTTATTCTAAAGAAGAAAGTAGAAACACAGAAGTACTTGTGTGTTTCTCTCTGTACAACACCTTTGAATAATTGGTTAGAAAGTTGTTAACTTGATTGAGGAACATTAAGTTACGTTAGTTGATTTGCAGCAGGATTGTTTGATACTGACAGATAAGGGATATTGCATGATTTGTCCGATAAAATCATGAATATGTTTTGGCCTTAGTTCGACATTAAATTGATCAAACAGGTCTCTGCAGCCGTGCAAGTTGAAGACTCGGTGCAGCTTTGAAGCCGGGTTCTTGTATACAATCAAAGCTTCGCACTTAAATTTATCGCGAATATAAACTCTTTTAAGTCCCTGACATTACTTCCTATGAGATTGATATGCCATCAAATTTCATTACTTAATTCCCGGTGATCTAATTGTCACTATTCTGCTGATGCTGCAGGCCGTCCAAGAATATGGCTTTGTGTATGATGGGGAAGTTTTTGTGACGAGAATGGATCCTCAGGCTTTTATTAGGTTGTCAATAGGCTCACTTGGACTAAGGATTCCTGGAACACCTTTCAAGTCTGAAAAATCTGGCATTCATGCATTATCTTCCCCGTATTCGTGTGAAATTCGCCTTCGAGGGTTCCCTATGCAGACAGCATCAATTCCCTTAGTTTCTTCCCCTGAAGCTACTACTACACCTGATTCTCTCAGCACGGCCTCGAGTTTTTATCTTGAAGAATCGGATATTAAAGCGCTGCTGGAACCTGGCTGTTTCTACAATCCTCATTCCTGTCTGGAGATTGCTATTTTCACAGGGAAGAAGGGATCCCACTGCGGTGTAGGGAACAAAAGGCAGCAAATTGGGACATATAAGCTGGAGGTTGGTCCCGAATGGGGCCAAGGAAAGCCAGTGGTTCTTTTCTGTGGATGGATAGCTATCGGCAAAAACAAGCACGAAAGCGGAAAATTGAGTGCAGAGCTTCATTTGAGAATAAGACTAGATCCCGATCCAAGATATGTTTTCCAGTTTGACGATGTGACAAAACTTAGTCCTCAGGTTGTTCAGCTTCAAGGCTCCAATAAACAGCCTATTTTCAGCTGCAAGTTCATCCGAGACAGGTGACGTGACGTCACTTATCTTTATAACTTATGTTAAATGTTTAAGACTTCTGCATGAAAACTATGTGAGGTTTGTATTGCTGAGAAAAGAAACAAATGTCGATGTAGGTTCTGATAGTTTAATGAATCTACAGGGTTCCCCAGGTGGATCCATTGAACACATACTGGTCAGGTGCTGCTAACAATCCTGATCTGGAAACAGAGAGAAGGGAGAGAAAGGGATGGAAGGTGACAATACATGATCTCTCTGGCTCGGCTGTTGCAGCAGCCTTTATAACAACTCCATTTGTTCCGGCAACAGGTTGTGATTGGGTTGCAAGGTCCAACCCAGGAGCTTGGTTGATTGTTAGTCCTGATCCTTGCAGGCCTGATAGCTGGCAGCCGTGGGGAAAACTTGAAGCATGGCGTGAGCGTGGCATCAGAGACTCTGTTTGCTGCCGATTTCGCCTTCTGTCAGAATGCCAGGAGGCCGTGGAGCTCTTCATGTCTGAAATCCGCATCAATGCTGAAAAGGGTGGGGAGTTTTTCATAGACACAGACAGACAGATGCGGGCAGTAGCAGCGGCAGCAGCATCCGCCAGTCCGATACCAAGCCCACAAAGCAGTGGAGACTTTGCAGGTTTATATCCATTTGTGGGTGGTTTCGTCATGAGCTGTAGAGTGCAAGGGGAAGGAAAAGCCAGCAAGCCATTGGTACAACTAGCCATGAGGCATGTGACATGTGTGGAGGATGCCGCCATCTTCATGGCTCTTGCAGCTGCTGTCGATCTTAGCATTGAGGCATGTAGGCCCTTCCGTCGGAAGTTCAGGAAAACCTCCTGCCCTTCTATATGAAAAGGTAAGAAAATTTGAGGAAGAAAAGGGCGGAGGTGATTCCGTGCGCTGAAAAAAACCGTAGTTTCTCTTGATTGATGTAACATCTTTGCATTGTGTACAGGAAACTCTTATTTAGAACTCTCAAAGATTGTTTAACTACTCATTCATGGTAGCAGTAAGCCGAAACAACGTCATTATACATCCCCATTGGGCAGTACCTACTATTTTGTCATGGGTGACGGAATGAGGATAGTTTTTTGGGAAAACATCACTTTCGGGGTTGCTCCTGATAAGAACGATTTTATCTATCACCGATTGCCGGTTGTATGCAACCAGTTACACGTAAAAATTTCTCATGATAAGCTAATATTCAACGAGCAACAAAACGATGTTACTTAAAAGAAAGGGAAGTAGAAACAAGTACAACTAGGTTGGTTTCTTTTGATTCTACGTCGTTTTCATGCGTTACGGACTTAATTGGGAACAGATGGATCCAGCAGGAAGGAAAAGGACAGAATATATAGCATCTCTACTCCATCTCTCCTACCAAGAAATATATTTTGTATCTCTGCTCTTGTTTTTCCATTCAATATAGAGTCAGGGTCTGGAATAACACAGTACCAAACAAACCGAAATTCAAAAGACCGTGGAGGGCAAAAGAAAGAGAAGCAGCACGCAATTTCAATTCATATACAGGCAAGAGAATACGGCTCCTTAGAAAACAATGTGAAGACAACACACTCTGTCCATCGTTTGAAACGGAACAAAAGACGAAGGTGAAAACCACCCTGATGTTAGTAACGTTACTAAGCTATGACATTAGGCTTCTGTTGTCTGGAACAGTGCGTCAACTTCTCCAATAACAGTTCGAGCTTCTTCAATTTCAGGGCCTTCCTTCTGGTTCAACTCTTCTTCTACTTCAGCCTAAAAGTAATTATCTTCCTTAGTGAATTGGGGCCAAATGAGTTGGTACTTCAAACTAAGGTTTACCAAGACTTTTACATACCAAAATTCCTTTCAGGTCAGCTAATGAGGCCTCCAAGCGTTTCCGACAGTCTGGAATCATCATCCTTGATTCAGCTAGCACATTTTCCTGTAAGGGAACCAAGATGACAAGACAGGAATTTTATTTGGAAGGGATAGGCATATATCCATTGATCTTTTCGTTTCTTCAGTTGACTTCTCAATGAAGTAGCTTAACAAAGAATATACGAGAACTTCTCCAAGCACTCAGAAGCAAGATTGGGTCAATGGCCTTTAGTTTGAACATTATCTGATGGGAAAAAATACTCCCTGACCTATACCTATTAAAATTAATGGATCTCCAAAAGAACATAGACAGTTGATAAACTAAGTTATGAAGTATATATTGTGGGGTTATGTAATCTTAACCCTTTTCTTCTGTGAATTTTTTTTGTAAATTACCATAATTTCTACAAACAAGCAAGCAAGCAAACGCATCTGAACATTTATGTGTACATGCAGATTGCACAATGCACTGATTCAAGTCAATCTGCATCTTATTAATCGCCTCAAAAGTGTCCCAAAGATTGAATCAGAGGGTAAAATGATCCATTAAAATTTCAAATACGTCATCTGCTAACAGGAATTTGGCCCCAAATCTTACTAATGGTATGCTAATAACTATTATTGAAAAAATAAGAAAGCAAAAATGTGGGACTTATTTTTCTACTAGCATGGTATTGGCTGTCCAAATTTGTTAACGGGGAAAAGTATATAAATCCCTTTCTAAAAACTACGAAGTTTAACAATAGAATGATAACAAACAAGTAGAACAAGTTAATTGATGCCGAATATATTCAAAAGAAAAAGGTCAACCTAACTTCAGAAATCTTAACAAAGTCCTATAAAAAATGTCTAGTAACATATTCCCACCACAGAGAATGATATATATCTAAAATGCATAAATTTCCAAACAACAGATGATAACTGACTCACATATCACAAACATAAAATATGACAGTGTGCCACAAATCAAGACAGCTAAGAACCATGTAAGGAGTTCAGAAACTCATAAGTGAGCAAATTTGTTGTTGTCAACTAACCAAATGTCTGCAACAAATGCAAGACAATATAAATTTAAAGATGATGACAACTTAATGGTGCCAGCTGCTGAATGATGCACGTCTCGATCATACCTGCTGCTTCAGGTCATACGGATCAGCTCCTTTCTCCTTCATGTCTGCTGTTTTGGCAGCTTCTCTCTCAACCTCTTTCTCATAGGAATGAAGCTCCTTAACTAGGCGTTTACAAGTACCAGTCTTGACTTTCAGATTTCTTAGGGTTGCCATTGGTGTCCTATCAAAAGAATCATTTTCTTCATAAATGCAAAGTACGAAACCCATGATCTAAAATATCGCATCTGAGCTTTATATTCAATCAATCTATAATATGCTATATATTATATTCAATAACAGAATCGTGTAATTAAACTAAAATTTATAAGCTATATATGGCAGATTCACTACGCCCTCATCTTCTGTACCAGATCCCATTTACAGGAAGTGTTTTTCTAACTGATTGAACAAAAGCGGGAAAGGGGTCGGTGCAGTTTGAGATCATTCTTGTTTCCTGAGACATTTTGATATAAATGATTTCAAGAACTGGCGGAGGCAGGAATATATCTTAAGGGGCACGAACTATTATATATCAGTAACAGTACCAAATAGCAACACTAACATATTATGATATAAACCCCAGAATTCAAATGTTGATTAACAATATTTCTTTCATAGTTTAATATTCCTTCAAAATTGAACAAACTCCTTCACTCAACGGGCAGAACGACGGCCAAAACAAATGCCCACTTCCATCATTTCATGGTAGTGCTTCACAAGGAAACCCCACCAAGGATTCATCCGTCAGTGGAGCTATTTGCCTCACTGATCAAAATTTCAACGAAAAATAGCACACAAACTGCATAAACTAAGCAAAACGTAGGCTCAAGTGCACAATATTCTAGTTTAAAGATAGGAAAATATACAGATCCACCAGTGGGAAGCGTTCAGTAAAGCGAACATTGCTCTTATATTTGGGGGATGTCTTTTAGAACCCTTCAGAGAGAAAGAGAGAGAGAGAGAGAGAGAGAGAGAGTACCTGGGCGTACAAGAGAGGAGTAGCAAACTGGAGCAGAAGATTGTGGAAGATTAAAAATACACGCGATGAAGTGAACAAGGTGAGGGAGAGGGGGTGTCTTTGGTCGGTTTATGGTGCGGGAATCTGAGTTCGATTGGAGTCGGGGGAATCTTGGCCCGGCGGATTTGCTGTCTCAAACCTATTGTCTCCTTCATACTAGTTTTCATTCCAAATTGAGTCACTGTCGAGTTCAATACTAATTGTTTTCCCATTCTTTATCTTAGTGTAAAATTACAAAAGAAATCATGGATGAAGCGTGAGTGGAAGAAAAAGAAAAGGAGAAAAAAGTAAAAATAAGAGTATGATCCCTTAACTTCATCCCAATTGTACCTTAATTGAAAATCTATGAGTATTGATCTCTAAAATTTTTCTCAATATGAAACATAGTCCTTTTGAGGCTTTGAGAGACACCTTGAGAAATTTCAACTAAAATAGAGTATAAAAGGACATAAAATGGCAGAAGTTAAAAGACCGTTGCTCCAGATAACAAGTTCATGACCACTATTCAAAGGTTTTTAGTTCACCATCCACAGCACCAATTGGCCTAAAATTCAAGGCATTGCTCTAATTTTGTACATTTTTCCTTGTATATTTCTTATACATCTCTCCTAGTTGCCATCTCTTTCGCTAGCTCTTCTACATCTACCAATTCGGTCATGCAATTCTTCTTCAAAACATAATGAAAAGTTCTAACCGAACTTATAGACTTTACGGCAATGTTCTAAAAATCAGCCTAGGCGGCCGCCTAGGTGCTGGGCGTGGGTGTGCCGATGCGATTAGGTCCGAATCGTTAAGAAAAATTGGGGAGCTGTTAGGCGCCCGCCTAGGCGCTCTTAGGCTGCTTGGGCAGCCTAGGCGGCAGTCTAGGCAGAGTGAAATGGTTTCCTAGGAAGAAATTCCAAATAGATACCCAGAATCGCAAAAGCTTTCCCGCCGCTTTGACTCCCTTTCTCTGTACACCACGACTTTCTTAGATAGCGTGATTCCCTCTCTTTGAAATCCATCGAAGGAGAGGAACTTACAACGCAAAACAGAAGAAGAAGAAGAAGACGGCTTGGGCAGCCTAGGCGGCAGTCTAGGCAGAGTGAAATGGTTTCCTGGGAAGAAATTCCAAATAGATACCCAGATTCGCAAAAGCTTTCTCGCCGCTTTGACTCCCTTTCTCTGTGCACCACGACTTTCTTAGCTAGCGTGATTCCCTCTCTTTGAAATCCATCGAAGGAGAGGAACTTACAACGCAAAACAGAAGAAGAGAGAAGAAGAAGAAGAAGAAGAAGAAGAAGAAGAAAAGGAAAGAATAAAAAAGAATAAAAGTTTCCGGTTTTCAAGACGTCAAAATGGTCTCCTTCATTTGGGAGCCTCTTGGCTAATGTGAGAGATGGGGACTAGGGGTGGAGGGGAGGGGTCAGACCACACATGTGGTGCTTTATGAAATGGGGAAGGATGCATGCACCTCTTCAAAATTTTCTCTTTATTATGAACCACCAAATCAACTATGTGGGAGTTTTAACTTTATTTTTTTTTAAATTAGATATAATCATTCAAAATGTCTCAAGTTATATGACATATATGCTTAATGTGTTTTAAAATTTTGGACTTGTTAGATACTCTTTTTGCATTTTATCATTCTTTTATTATCTTATTCATGGATTTCATACAAATATAATTTTTTTGTAAGTGTCAATATACACTTATTTACAAGATATACAAGAAATTTACATAAATTCGTCTAGGCACTTGTCTAGATCCCGCCTAGCCGCCTAGGCACTAGGCGCCAGCCCTCTACCCAACTAGCACCTAGAATTTTTTAGAATCTTGCTCTACAATTGATGTAGTACTTCTGAAGTTGAAGAAGTGCTTCTTGTTTTGCATTCATCAAATTCATACAAGGTATACATTGAGCAAACTGCACCTCACTACCTCAATCTGCTAGTGAATCACTTAAAGTTAACTTAGTTATTACCCCTAAAAAAATAACGCTAGGTAGACCAACTTTTTGGACCAAATTTATAAATCATGTGATGTGTCACCAATAGGAAATAACCACGTTAATTAACACTTAAGTAATAATCTAATCATCAACAACTGGGTCATATGATTTACAAAATTTGGTATAAATAATTGGTCTCCCTCATATTATCTTAAAAAAAAATATTATAATTGATTTGCCCCTAAAATTGGCATTTAGTCTTATTTCTGAACCTTTTGTCTCACTTTGCCCCTTGAAATTTTCATTTTTATCTCATTTAGTCTCAGTGCACCACATTTTTGTCAGATAGACATTAAGCCAAAGGGTAGTATGGACATTTCATTTTTTCAACACAATTCTTTATCTCCAACCTACCTACTAAAGAAATCCCAATACCATATTTTACAACTCAAATTCAAACCCAAGAAATTTTCTCCATAATTTACATACCCAGGGACTTTCTCCAGGTTTGAGATGAATTGTCATCATCGCGAAGAAGATTAGCTATCAACTGAACTCAAGGACTGGATTTGCAGGCATGGGGCTTACCTCTAGTTCTATAAACATGAAATTCCCATGCTACCCTTTAATTTACTATCTATTTAACGGAATGGATGAAGAAGTGGATTGAGACTAAATAAGACGAAAATGGCAACTTAAGGAGTAGAGTGAGACAAAACCAATTTCAAGAGCAAATCAATTAATAAGAAGAAACAAAAACTTAATAATCATTAAAGAACTACCATTTATGTGCTACCGGAAGTGGATCTATTAAGGGATATGGGTGGTACCCGGACTACCTAAAAGCCCGGATAAGTAGTTGTGAGGATCTCTGAGGACCACCCAAGTTTGGGCATTTGGTGGAGGAGAAGATGAGGGGAGGGGGTGGGGTGTAGTGTTTTGGGTCTTCTGACATTTTGCAAACCATAAGGAGGAAGAAAAAGAAGACTAGGTTTTTTTAAATGACTTGGCCAAAACGGCGTTGTTCCAAGCCAAGTCATTTAAGTAAAACAGTGAGATTGATAGGTGGTTTGAAGACACCCTCCTATCCTAAGCCGGATTTTTTTTTTTAATACATCAATATATATTTACACTAAAGGAAGGGGGAGTTCGACTAAGCTATACAATGAGCAACCTAATTTGTTCTTTTTTTAAATACATTGATATATTTTACACTAAAGGAAGGAGGAGTTCAACTAACCCACACAATGGCAACCTAATTTGGCATCGAATTTGCTATCTACAAGATTCGAATTTAAGACATCTCACTTCTAAGTGACAAGGAATATCACTAGACCGTAGTACTGACAGACTCCTAAGCCCCATTCTTTGATATATAGTTTTCACCATTTTCTATTATAAAAACAAAAAGGATTCAACTTTCAAGGGGAGAACTTTTCCAATTCCAATTCCAACTCCCTAATTGGCTAATCATATTCCCCAATCCCCACCCCACCCAACCAAAGACTACCACCATCGGTTACTCTCCAGTCTTCACAGACCACCATCAGGCCCATCACAAGGTCCACACCAGCACCTGTCTGTCTCTTGTCTCCTCTCCACGACCAAGTCCCCGGACCACCAGTCTGCTGTTTATTCTCCACCACCACTCAACCCCTCATTATTAAATTTAAGTAAATTTTATGTTTTAGCCAAAATTAATCGAATGTTAAGTTCAATAGATTATAGTTATTGTTAATTTGTTATGATTTTTTTCATATTGTTTGGATCATGAAGTTGTTTGTTCATTTATATTTTTTAAGTTTCATGAATTGATATGATTTTTTGTTTTGATTAATTGATATGTGTAGAATTTAGAAGCATAAAACGATAAAATGAAACCTCGTCGTAGACAAATTAGTCTTTGTAGTTTGTAATATTATTTATACAAAGATTATGAAAGAAAAGTTGTAGTTTATTGTTTAATTTTTTCAATGTTATTTTTATCTAAAATTTTTTGAAGCTTTTATGAGGGCGAGCCTTGCGCAAAGGAAATGTTGCTATTTTTTTAGAGGTCTTAGGCTCAAATTTCGTAGATGACGAGTTTGAAATAAATTTATTCCCACACCGCTTAGTGTAGATATATTGTTACTAAACTATTCCATATTAGCTTCTTGTCATTTAGTACTATAGTTAAGTAAATTCCTCTTCACTTGTAATGAGAGGTCTTAGATTCGAATTTCGTGAATAGCGAGTTCATACTCCCTCACGCAGCTTAGTTTATGTTGTAACTACACAGATGGCTTCCAAGTAGTATCTAGGTGAAAGAATTTTGTATGCATTCATAACTAAAGTAAAACAAAATAGTTACCTCTTTTCTTGGTGAGTAGAAAAAACAAGTACCTTGTAAGTACACAATACATTATGAGAAACTGCATGTCGCAGATCCTCTACAAATTTAGCAGTAGGAAATCGTTTATACACGATACACATACATCACAATATAATCAACCAAACTGAGAAGCAACTCAAATCTGTCAAGTTAGTGGTTATGGACATCAAGTTCGATAGGTCATTGGTTTATTCAGTTTCATGTACTAATTACATTGGAGAGGAACATCCTTAAACGCTGCAGTCGTCCTCCAATTTGCTGCAGTTGTCCTTTAATCAGATTTCTAAATGTTTGGGAAAAGATTAAGAATACGAAGAGTGCAACAGCGGACGAAACCCCGCTGACAAGGAATAAACCAAGAAAGTCGTGGAGGCCAAGAGTATTGGAGGGACTACTCATATTATTATCCTCCATACTATCGTCCGGCATAAGACTTGTTTTTCTATGAAACCAGGTCTTTTCCAGGTCTAAAAGCTGTCCTTCTTCTCTCATATGTCGTATTTGTGTCGATAAGTCCTCGACCAATTTCGAACCTTTAGGGAAAGCCTGAAGATGAACGATGTATGAACAACTTATTATAAGCTTATACAAGTATAATTTTTTTTCTTGTTGGTTACAAATTCTTGTTTGTAATTTAAAGTTGTTAATTATATAGAGTTTTATATTCCGGAACGCATGTAACAAATGGGATAGATCACTTACAAAGGCTAAACCATTGGTGATAGACTTGGTTTTAATGATGGAGTAGTCGGAAGAATACTTTGCACGGAAGATATTGATATATGGAAGCTCATCAATTATCGCCGAAACACCGCCATGCTTGCTTTCTTTTGATAAAGCATCAGCATATTCTTCAGCTGAACGATATGGCTTCATCC